CTTTGAAGATGGAGGAAGCAGCTTGAGCAAAGGAGTGAGGGCAGCCTGCAGAAGCTAGAAAAGGCAAAGCAACGCCTTCTCCCCTGGAGCCTCCGGAGTGAAAGCAGCCCTGCCAACACCTGGATTTCAGGACTCCTGACTTCCGGAGCTATAAGATAATAAATGTGTGTTCTGGACCGGGTGTGGTGGCTCATGCCTGTAATCCCAGCACTTTGGGAGGCTGAGGCAGGCGGATCACAGGTCAATGGTTCAAGACCATCCTGGCCAACATAGTGAAACCCCATCTCTACTAAAATTACAAAAATTAGCTGGGTGCGGCGGCACATGCCTGTAATCCCAGCTACTCAGGAGGCTGAGGTGGGAGAATTGCTTAAACCCAGGAAGCAGAGGTTGCAAAGTGAGACTCAGTCTAAAAAAAAAAAAAAGTGTCGTTTCAAGCCATTGTCTTAATTTCCTCGGACTGTCATAATAAATTACCACAACAAGTGGCTTAAAATGACAGGAAATGATTCTCTCACAGTTCTGGAGGCCACAAGTCCAAAACCAAGGTGTTGGCGGGGCTGTGCTTCCTCTGAGGGCTCTAAGGAAGAATCTGTCCCATGCTGTCCTCTTGGCTTCTGGTGTTACTAGCAGTCGTTGGCATTCCTTGGCTCATAGACCCATCACTACACCCCTCGGCTTGTATGTGCATAGCTAGTGAACGTGAGTGGGTATTTCAGGAATCGGGGTTTTTCTGGGGATGGTCATGTCTGTGAATAGGCTGGGGTGCTTATCCCACAGTCATTGTTCCACATAGTCTCAGGCGCTGGCCTGCACCTTATTCCCCAGCCCTGTGCCTGCCTCAGAGGCTGATGTCAATTGCTCTTTCCGGGCTCCACAGTCTGGAGCCCACATTCCACCACCATCACAGAGAAGTCATTTTCATTAGAAGGCACAGGCCCCCTCTCACCCCAAGATGTCTCTGAGGAAGAGCAGTGTTAGCTCTCCATCTTCCATGCCCAAATGTCCTCGCATTAAAAGACACATCCTTTGCAGATGGCAGAGCAACTTGCTGGGAGGCTAGTCAGTCGCTTTGCCATGAATGTTTATCTGAACATTAGAAGTGCACCAGAAACAGCAGCGCACAGGCAGCTGGCCAGAGCAAGTCCTGGGGATGTGCAGGCGGAGTTCAGAAGAAGATCGCCCTGGCCGCCTTGCTTGGAGGCACAGCTGGGGGACATGACTGGCTGCTTGCAAAGCAGAAGGACAGGGAGGCAGCCTCCCCTCCAGAGCCTTTCAGCTCTGAGTCCTTCTTCCATCAGCCCCCTCGTTTAATTCCCTGGGTCACTGTCTTCTTTGAGCCTTGTCCTTGGAGGCCTGAGCCCCTGGCCTACAGTGTAGGGATGTGATTTCCTGACCTGCTATTCTCTGGTTGCCCCATAGATTCAGCCCAGATGTCCCCGTGCCAAGCTATGGCCCTCTTGCTAGGATGAGGGCACGGGGAGGATGGGGACAGGGTTTGTAGCCATACTTCCCCCATGCACGCATCCTGCCTACCCCCTCTTCCTGGCTAGGATGACAGTCTAGGAGAGGGAGAGAGACAATATAGGCCAGCAGGGCAGGTGCAGTGCTCCCCAAAATCCTATGATGGGGGGCTCATTGTGCAGGGTGAGAGTTGGGGCTCACTCCCTTACTGGAAGTCACTGCACAGTCTCACGAAAACCAGGGTGCCCACATCTGTGATCCCAGCACTGTAGGAGACCAAGGTAGGTGGATCACTTGAGGTCAGGAGTTCGAGACCAGCCTGTCCAACATGATGAAACCCCATCTCTACTAAAAATACAAAAATTAGCTGGGAGTGGTGGCATATGCCTGTAGTTCCAGCTACTCAGGAGGCTGAGGCAAGAGAATCACTTGAACCTGGGAGGCAGAGGTTGCAGTAAGCCGAGATCGCACCATTACACTCCAATTTAGGCAACAGGGTGAGACTTTATCTCAAAAAAAAAAAAAAAAAAAAAAGGCCAGGTGCAGTGGTCCACACCTTTAATTCCCAGCATTTTGGGAGGCCGAGGCAGGCAGATCACTTGAGGTCAGGAGTTTAAGACCAGCCTGGCCAACATGGTAAAATCCTGTCTCTACTAAAAATACAAAAATTAGCCAGGCGTGATGTCACATGCCTGTAACCCCAGCTACTCATGAGGCTGAAGCAGGAGGATCGCTTGAACCCAGGAGACGGAGGTTGCAGTGAGCTGAGATTGTGCCACTGTACTCTAGCCTGGGTGACAGAGCAACACTCCGTCTCAAAAAAAAAAAAAGCAAAAGCTAATTTAATGCTTTTTTTCTGATTTGAGGAATGTTACATTTAATAGTTTTTATTTACACCTCTAATCTTAAGTTTCATCTCTTTCCAATGTGGGTCTGCTCCATCAGGGGGCCCTTTACCCAGAAGTGAGACTTCTGAACTCAGTGTGGCCAGAGTTTAGCAACGTAAAAATACAAAAATTAGCTGGGGATGGTGTCATGCACCTGTAATCCCTGCTATTCGAATGGCTGAGACAGGAGAATCACTTGAACCCACGAGGCAGAGGTTGCAGTGAACCAAGATTGTGTCACTGCACTCCAGCCTGGGAGACACAGTGAGACTCCAGCTCAAAAAAATAAACTTAAAAAGAGCACAGGCTCTAAAGCCAGATACCCAGCTGCTCAGGAATCCCCTCGGCTTGTGGCCCTGGGCAATTTCAACATGCCTTTCTGCCCCTAGACCTACCTCACAGGGTTGTCACCCAGGGCCTGGCACCGGGAAAGGTGTGGTACACATCAGCCGTTAGAGCCTTTCTAAGGCCGATCCAGAAAGAGGAAGAATTACAGGCAGAGAGAGCTGGACTCAGATCGTAACCCTGCCCCTCAGTAGCTGGGCACTAAGCTGATGACTTGGCCTCTCAGAACCTGCATTTTCTTGCCTGCAGGGAGGGAAGAATAGCCACTGTCTTACCAACCACCACTGTGAGGCCCAGAGCGACAGCGGTTGGAGCCAGTGACCCAGACCCTGGTCCAGCCCGCGCGGCCTCCAGACGTTTGGAGCCCACAGTTGGACTTCTATATGCAGATACCGGCTGTGGCCTCTCAATAGCCTTGCCAGGATAGGGATTGTATCATCCCCAGGCAACAGGTGAGGAAATCAAGGCTCTGAGAGGTGAAGTCATGCTCAGGCCGCCTGGTTGGCCACCCTCTTCCTTCCCAGCTGCTGGGCTTCCGTGAGAGGGGCAGGAGGTCATTTGAATAACAAGTTATTGTCATCTGGGGGATGCAGTTGGGCTGGCTTGTGACAGGAGGCTCCCTGACTCCAGGCTGGATGCTATCCCAAGGTCCCTGTGGCCAGAGGGAGCAGGGTATGCCATAAGCACTCTTCCCAGCTCCCCTTGGCTCGGGCCCCATGCAGCTGGCTGGCCTGACCCTGCCATGGACGCCATGTGCATTCAGAAAGGTGACTCAGCCATGTCCACCCCCATGTCCTTTGCCTGCCGTGGGAAGAAACATTCTCTCACCATATGCATTTTTTAAAAATCTCATGTCTTGGGTTACAGATTTTCTTCACCTAAAAAATGTTTTTTGCTAATTTTTTCTAAACAAGGTGTTTCAGAAACCTCTTGGCAGCCACAGGTTCTGGGACTCACAGGGTGGTGTCAGCCGCTTGCTGTCCTGTGCCCGGTGTTAAACAGCAGCAGGGCTCCCGGTCAGCTGCCCCCGCCCCACTTGCTGTGGTGTGCCACCCCGAGACACCCACAGCCCCATGCCCCTGGATGCAGGCTGGGCTGGCAGGAAAGGGAGGTCCAAGGGCCCTGGGCAGCTGCATGAGAGAGAGGTGAGAGGGGCTGTGGGAGCCAGCAGAGGGCACAGCCTGCCCCTCTCATGGAGACTCCAGCAACCCGGAAGGAAGAGGGTGGCCAGCCAGGCTGTGTGGGCATGACTTCAGCTCTCAGAGCCTTGATTTCCTCATTTGTCACCTGGGATGATCCGGTCCAGGTGTTCCATCAGTGAGAATGACTACACTCCTGCAGGGGATGGGTGAAGGCAGGGACAGGGGCACCTCAACTGTGACATGTGGACAGACTGTTTTTGTTTGTTATTATGTTTTGGGTTTTGTGTTTGTTTTTCATTTTTTTGAGACAAGGTCTCATTCTGTCATCCAGGCTGGAGCGTAGTGGCACCATCACGGCTCACTGCAGCCTTCACCTCCCCAGGCTGAGGTGATACTCCCACCTCAGCTTCCCGGGTAGCTGGGACCACAGGCACATGCCACTGTGCCCGGCTAAGTTTTCTATTTTTTTGTAGAACACATGACATTTTTTGTCATGTTGCTCAGGTTCTTTTGGCACTTTGGACAGAAGGTGGCATTGGGCTGGCCCTCAAAGGGGTGGGTGGGGCAGGACCTCTGGTAGGGGCAGGTATGAGAAGGTTCCAGGCAGTGGGGATGCAGCAGGAAAGGCCCAGATGGGAGTGCTTGAGCCTTTGCAGGGAACAAGGGACAGATTGGTGTGGTCAGGGGAAGGGCATGAGCAGAGAGCAAAGTGAGGTTGACTGAACTGGGGCAATCGGTTTGGGGAAGGCCTGTGATTCCAGTAAAGGCACCCGGCTCCATTCTTGGGTCTTTGTGCCCACAGAGCAGTCTCCATCTCGCCCCCCAGCATGGACCATCCTTCCCTGCACCACAATGTAGGAAGCTGGCACCCTGCACACAGGTGGGTGCCTGCGGGCCTGCCACCTCCAAAGCCCAGTCCTGGCCCTGCCGTTCAAGCTGGGCTCTCTTTACAGTCCTTCCCACTGACTCAGCTGGGCCCTTGGGAAGGTTGGGCCAGGATGGCACAGGCACCTCACCCTGTCCAGGAAAAGGAATGGACACCATCTTGGGGACTGATGTTTTTCGAGTGGTGCTGTCTGCCCTGTACTGCCCGGCCCAGCTGTGTAGGCCTCATGGTACTGTGTCTGTTGGTAATGACCATAATGACTGTTTTCTTCCACAGATGACTCTGGGGATGACGACGAGGCTGCCACCCCAGCTGACAAGAGTGAGCTGCACCACACCCTGAAGAACCTCTCCCTGAAGTTAGATGACCTCAGCACATGCAATGACCTCATTGCCAAGCATGGCGCCGCACTCCAGCGCTCCCTGAATGAGCTGGACGGCCTCAAGATCCCATCCGAGAGTGGGGAGAAGCTGAAGGCGGTGAATGAGCGGGCCACCCTCTTCCGCATCACATCCAATGCTATGATCAATGTGAGTACCTGCCCCCACCACCGTCCTGGCACGGGGCTCCCTGGCTTTGGCCCCAGGGTCCCTGAGTGGGTGACCAGGGGTACTTGATTGAAAGGGTGACCAAGGTTCCATTTCCTGCATCTCCATGGTGTTTCCCAGGGCCAGCACCCCCAGCTAACTTCAGGGTTCTCGAGTCATCGCCTTCATCCTGCCATCACTGGGCAAGGACATGCTTCTTAATCGTCAGGAGGAAACTGGAGCTGGGTGTGGACTCTGGTGCAGTCTACAGTTAGTTCATGCCTGGATAAGAAAGATCGGGGCCCCAAGTTGACTGGCCAGTCTGGCAGGTCAGCTCTGCCCTCACAGTAGGGACACAGCTCCCACACTGGCCCTCAACAGCTGCTATGGCTCCTCCCTGGGTTCATTTCCCAGATGCAGGGAGCAGACGCTGTGCATGCATGAGGGGAGGGTGTGTGGTGAGGGGCTGCAGTCGGGGGTCCCTGAGCTAGAAGAGCCTCAGAGCTGAGGCTGGCAAGGTTGTGCCAACCTGATGAAGACAAAGCGAGTAACTCCCACTGTAAACTAAGCAGCCCAGCGCAGGAGTCAGCCACTCACCCCAGCTCTGGAACCACATGGCTATGACTGGGAGCCAGGAGGGTCTCTCGATGGTCACAGGAGGATTGCGCTTGGCTCTGTTTTACTCTTTCTGTCTGAGGAGTGCTCCCCAGAAGTGTGTGTGCTCCTCCATGCCTCCACCCTCCAGACACAGGTCTGACTGCAGCAGCCTCCTCCCAGGGCAGTCCCACAGTGGGGCACATCTGGGCCAGGGGTGTAGTCGTAGGAGCTTGGTGTGGCCTCCTGGGAGCAAGGATGCCAGAGCAGAGGAGCTGTGCCAGAAATGGAGGCTGCTACAGAGGAGGAAGTGAGGTCCAGAAAAGGGGATTCAGAAGAGCCATCATGCTGGCTGGGGACAGTGGGCAGTGCTGGTGCCCAGGTGAGCTCACTACAGGCCAAGAGCCCAGGCTAAAACCTGGGCATCCAAGACTACCCAAGCCTGCTTCACTGGCCTGTTGGCAGCATGACTGTGGGGCAGGAGGGCCACCCGACCACCCAGACCTGCCCAGATATGCTCAGGCTCAGGCCTGGAGCGCCCAAATGCAGCCATGGGAATCCCACCCTGGAGGCTGAGGCTGAGCGCAGTGTGCCTCCTTCCCCGACCACTGGGAACTCAGCCTGCAGGTGCCCTCCAGGAGGTGTGTGTGCCTTGCCCATCCAGATCCGGCAGTAATAGGGGGTGGGGGGCCGTTGGCCCCATGTGCCAAGGATACTGACAGGCTGCTGGGCCACCCCTCATGTTGGCCCCACTGTCGCCTGCACTGTTTTCCTGCATCCACCCTCTCAGGCCCACTGTCCTTACAGCCCACAGAGCAGATTGCTGTGCTTCCACCAGAGACACACACGAATGTAAAGCACTGAATGACATAATGATGCATTTATATTTCCCTGTCCGTCCCGGAAGCCCCCACTGGAGGCTTCCCAGGCACTGCCTCCCCACCCAAGACCAGAACTGCTTTGTCTTGAGTAAGCAGTTTTGGCTTTTCCAAGATAATGAACTTCTCAGCTGGTTGCCATCTTGTGCGCTTTTTATCAGATATCAGAGGCTCGTCTGTGCTTACGAAGCCATAAAAACAGCTCCAAGTCCAGGTGCCTAATGAATTGTTTTATGGGAAGCAGAACCCCGGGTTAGTCACGATTCCTTTCTCCAGCTCCAGCATCCCAGGAACGTGGCGGCAGAGTCGGCCCTGAGTGACGGGAGCTGTGCCCTGGGCTGGGTTCTGCCAGACCTGCTGGTGTGAGTCTGCTCTGAGGGCCCTCCCCAAGCTCCTGCTGTTAAATCGGGGGCAGGGAGGGCAGGAGTGCAGGGCTGCCCCGACAGACTGTGCTTGTAGCCCAGGCTAGCCCAAAGGCTCATGTTTCCCCTGGGACCCTTCCTGCCATCTACTCCTCACCTGGCAGGAACCAGGGCAGTTCTGAAAGGGCTGTTTGCATGGCTGTCAGACACCAAGTGTTCAGACCCCACTACATGCAGAGAGGCCACCCTGAAGACCATGGGACACATGCGTTCCTGCCCCTGGTGAGGCTGTGGCTTCGCAGCTGTCAGGAGAAGGTGTTGGGCCAGGGCTGTGTAACTAGGATATCCACACTGCGCCCACCTCCAAGCCTCCAGGGAACCTCTTCAGACACCAGACCGCCCGCTTAGCACCGTGAGGGATTGTGAGTGCCAGCGTGGAAACTGAGGCTCAGGGAAGTCCCCTGAGCTGTTCAACATAACCCAGCTGGTAGGTGGCCACAACAAGATGCAAACCCAGGTCTGTGTGGCCTGCAAGAGGAGTGATGGCCACGTCCTCTCCAGGGAGGTAAGGGTGACACCCCTGAGGGTTGCAGAGGCCCCTCCTGCTGTGGCCACACTCCAAGGTCAGGACACAGGGCAGCCTCACCCATGCCCTGGGCAAGATCCCAGCCTCAGAGATCTCTGTGAGTCCCTGGAGCTCCTTACCTTTCAGCTTCAGGGTATCCTCTGGTCATCATGGCTGTAGGGAAGCCAGGGACTTGGAAATAGAAGCTATCCACCGAGGTCCCCAGAAGGTACAAATCATCACCCCCAGTCTCTCCCGATCTCACAGTGAGAGGGAGCTGCTCCTTCCCACCGCAACTCCATCCTGCTTCCCAGCCCTGCCTGACTGTGATGTGTGCAGGCATGCTCCCCGCAGTGCCCATGCCTGCACTGGGGGAATCTCTACTCCCACCGGCTCCTCAGACAGAGCAGATCCTCCTCCCAGTGAAATGTTGTGTTTTCCACCTTGTGAGCTCTGATCAAACCCAGTCATAGAGGTGGAACCGAAAATGAGGGTTGGCTGGTCAGACAATGCCCACATGGAGGGTGCCCTTCAGAGTGCACTGGAGCAGGCAGCTGTCTCCCTACAGTGACAGGGTGGCTATTCCATCTTCACTTTTTCCCAAGACCACAAAGAATCTGGGGTTGTTCCAGCTTCAGGAGAAAAGTCAGGGGTGGCTGGGTGCAGTGACTTAACGCCTGTAATCCCAGCACTTTGGGAGAATGAGGCAGATGGATCACTTGCGGCCAGGAGTTCGAGACCAGCCTGGCCAACATGGTGAAACCCCATCTCTACTAAAAATACAAAAATTAGCTGCGCGTGGTGGTACAAGCCTGTAATCCCAGCGCCTCAGGAGGCTGAGGCAGGAGAATCACTTGAACCCAGGAGGTGGAGGTTGCAGTGAGCCGAGATCGCACCACTGCACTCCAGCCTGGGTAACAAAGTGAGACTCCGTCTAAAACAAAAAAAAGTCGGGTGATTTTTACATTTCTTTCAAGTTTGGGGAAGGGCATTGATATCATAAGCCTTTAGGTCCTCAGCTCCCAGAAGGGCAGGCACTGGGGTCCTCTGGATTATTCCCAAGAGCCCAGGACCCACAGCTAGTGGTGCCGGCCCATTCCACGCACCCACTGATCCTCCACTCACATCAGGAATGGCCTTGGCCCCAGGTGTTTGAGGGAAGAAGCTGCTCAGAGATGGTTTCTGGATTGGGAATATTGAACGGTGACGCTTTGCCAGTGCTGCACCTTCTAGAACACATCTTCCTCACCCTTCAGGTACTGGCAGCTCCCTTGTCATCCTTCAGAGCCCCACAGGGACATCACCATGGCTTTCCAAGGCCTCTCTTGGGCACTGTTCCTCCTGGCCAGGACCCCAGCTCCCAGGTGCACCGCTCTGTGGCATTTAGCCCATTGTTTCAACCGCTCCCCACTGGGCTTTGTGCTCCCTGAGGTCGGGCTGAGTGTCTTACTCACAGGTGTCCCCGACAGTGGCCCCCTGGGAGTGCCAGAGAGTGATGTGTCATAATGGGTCTTGTGTCTCTAGATAAAGCACTCCAAGTGGCCCATGGCTCACATTTACCTTTTACAAAGCGCTTCTATTCCCATTTTCTCACCTGACAAGATCAGTGAGAAAGCGGAAGCCCAGACCTGAGGCCTCAACCTGCCAAGGTCAGCCCTGCACCCGCCTGCACTCCCTTTCCAGAGGGATCACTTGGCCTGGATCATCATTTTATGGCATAAAATTATATAGTAACCACATTTTCCATGTGCATGCCACACTGGGCTCCAATTTCCCTCTGCCTTGTGGCATTTTGATTGGCACGGTTGTTTCGCTCTTGTCACCCAGGCTGGAGTGCAATGGCGTGATCTCAGCTCACTGCAACCTCTGCCTCCTGGGTTCAGGCAATTCTCCTGCCTCAGCCTCCTGAGTAGCTGGGACTACAGGCACGCGCCACCAGCAGGGTTCTTTCTAGCCAGACTTGGAGGGTGTATTTGATGGGCCTTGGAAGGACCCTCTGAGGATAGCAGCTGAGTGAGTCAGCCGCCCCATTGTGAACTCAGAGCAGCCCCCTCTCATCACACAGCTAGGAAAGCCTGCCCGGTGGGCATTTGACACCAGGCCTTAGCAGCTGCCTCCCGATCCCTGCCCAGGCCTGTGCCAGGCAGGGATTCGCAGGCAACAGGCAGCCCGGCACTCTTAAAGTGACAGGTCATCAGGCATGTGTTCATCAGCATAAGAGGACGCAGAGTCGCCAGCTCACATGCCCATTTTTGAAGGCCAAGCTTGGGGAGAACCCAGGAAGGTTCCCAGTTGGTGGGAAGGCAGCTTCCGGCCCAGCTAACTACAGCCCAGCGGGACAGCCAGGGCAAGCCTTGCCTCGCCTTACAGAGGGTGGAGGCAGCAGCCATAGAATGGGAGGTAGGCTTCTTTCTCCCAGGCAGAGAGGGAAAATATTAATTGTGACCCCTTCTGGGCTGTCACCATGCGCAGGTCTTTCTGCTCTGGCCAGGATGGAGACCTGCGCCAGTTTGGCTCTGAAGCCCCTCTGTTATCCCCAGCTGCCCACCGGGTTACCCTTCCTGGGCCTCTGGACGGTTCTCCAGCCATGGGGGGCCCGTGGGCAGAACCTAGTAATTGGGCGAGGTTGCCAATTGTGTGAGTGGTGGCCTCACCTCCCCACTGCCCTGGAAAAGAGAACAGACTCCTTGCCTTGCCCCTTAGGGAACCTAGAGAGACCAGCTAGGCTTTTGGGTTTTCAACCATGAGAAAAACAGGGTATGGGGTTCATACGATTCCTAAGCATCCCCAGCAGGCCCAGCAGCCTCTCCTACCTGTTCCCTATGGGCCACCCGTCCCTGGTTCCGTCTTCCTGCGCTGGTGGCAGTTCCCCCAACAGCCACACCCCAGCTCCTGAGGACCGGGCTATAAGGGGCTGGGACAGGCCCTGCCAGTGAGGAGCCAGGATGAGAAAGGGGATGAGTTTTCCATATTTTGTGTGACATGCCAGACTGCATGCATCTCCCCTGCCCCCACTCTACAGGCTTACGCATGGGGAGAGCAAGGCTGAGGGGCTCAGGATCCCAGCCAGAAAGGATATGAGCCCATATCTTCCTGATTCCAGCCCCTGCTACAATGCTGCATTATAGTAGAGAAATAAACCTGACCCTCCCCTTGATAGGGGGCAGGAGGTCAGGAAAACCTTCCCTGTCCACCCTCACCCTGCATCCGTGTCCTGGCACCACTGACCACCTGCCTTTTGCAGGTCTGCAGAGACTCACAGATCTTTCTACTGCAGCATGTTGACCCATCCTTCCTGCAAGGGCAGGACATAGTTCCCTCACAATCCCAGGAGCCCCTTAGCCTCTATGCCTGGCTCAGAGCCCAGCACATGGGAGCCTCAGCAAATAAGAGGGAGGGAGGGAGGGAGGGAGGGAGGGAGGGGGGAGAATATTGTGAAAAATCACAGGAGCAAATGAATGAATCGCTTAGTGTCTGGCAAAATTCCCTAGTGGGTAATTTTTTTGACTCTGATAAAAGCCAGCCCAGCAGATCCTTGCTTGAATTACTGTTTTGGGTAACTGAATTCTGCCGTTTAAGAGAAACTCTGTGGCGCTATTAATGACTTTGGTTTTTAGAATGAGTCTTGAGCCATAACGTGCCTACGCTCAGGTGCTCTGCCAGGCCTGGGGTGGGGACATTCTCCCCCACAGCAGCGTCCTCCCTGAGCACCAGGGTGTACCTCATACGGTGGCACTGCCTCTGTCACTTGGTTTCAGGTGGGGGATGATTGAGTTCATACATATTGTAAGCTCATGTTTTGAGTGTCAGTATCCATAAAGTGAAAACCTGTGGGAGCAGGTTCCGTCTGCAGGCCAGGGCAGCAGAGTAAGGCTGCAGCCTGCTCTCCTCTGCAGTCCTGAGCCCCAGGAGGGGCTGGCAGCTGGGCATCATCCTGCTACTTAGCAGCCTCTGGGCTTATTCCCGCTGCCATCCCTTTAGACCCTGCAGGTGGGGCCCAGGCAAGACCGGCTTATACCTGACTCAATCCCTGTTCCTGAACTTGGAGGGCTCCTCATAGTTGGTGACTCATGCTGGGCCCAGGACTTGGTCCCTATGACCACATGACCCCCTGTGGCCCTTGGGAACCTTGAGTCGTGAGTGTGAACACAGCCCCACATCCCCTTGTGGGCCCTGCATCCTCCTGTGGGAGCTGTAACGACATAGGTGACATGGATGTCAGGGGCAAAAAGACCTTTAGAGGAAAGAGCAGAGAGATGCAGACAGGCTGGGGGCTGAGCAGGAGGGGTACAGGTGCCAGGCACCCTGGAATGAGTACTGGGAGCCACAGGAGAGGCCAGTCACAAGGGACCTCGTGCTGACAGCGTGACTTGAAATGAGACAAGGGACTCAATGCCAAATGACTCAACGCCAATGGCAATGTCAGTGACTCAAGGCCAAATAAAATGATCCCATGTGCATTTTAGCAAGACCCCTCTTCTGCCTGGAGAATAACTATGTGAGGCAGCTGCAGGTGCTCAGAGACCCTTCAGGGCCCCCTTGGGCAGGGAGCATAGAGCTGACACCGGTGAGAGTGGGCAGTGTTGCTCTGAGTTGAAGGCAGGGCCAGCAGAGTTGCTGTGTGGGTGAGAAAAGAGGCCATTGGGGAGGGACCCATGCTGGGGGTCTGGGCCACTAGAGAATGGGGGCCTTGCTGTCTCATGCCCCACTTGGCCCACACAGGGGTTCTGCAGGATGCAGGAGGGTCTTTCCCAGGAATAGGTCTTGTGTAGCCAGTGAGTGGGCAGAGCTGGCTTGCGGAATGAACCCCACAAAAGCCTAAAGGCCCTCGAGGTGCCCAGTGCAGGCAGAAAGAAGAGAGGATGGGGCTGGCCAGCGGAGGGTAGATGCTCACCAGGCCTGGATGGGACAGATGCCGCACTCTTGGTCCCTGGGTTTACCAAGGATGGTGGCATCCCTCAGGAGACACACTTTGGTGCCTGCTGTAGAGCTGGCTGGGCAGGATGGGTGCCTGCAACCTCCTGATGACAAGGATATGGGGAAACCGGAGGAGAAAGGGCACCTGGCACAGCCAGGACTTGATGGAGTAGGCTTGGGGGACACTCCAGTTGGAGACGCTCCAGCTGCAAGGGCAAAGCACAAGGGGGAATTAAGAGACATTTGGGGAACCAGATAGCCAGGGAAAGCACTGGGGACGGGCTGGGGGTCCTAGGGAGAGGGTCACAGGAACGGAGACAGCAACCTGGGGCCTTCAGGGCTTCTGATATGCGGCATCATAGAAATAAAGACCCCCCAGTGGAAGGAGCCCCCGCTTGGCTCACAGCCCAGGAGATCACGTGGGGCTCCTTGGGCCAACCCAGGCAGAGGTGAGAGGCCCGGAGCTGCCCTCCCTTATCCCTCCAGGGCCCATGGGGCAGGTTTCCGCCCAGCTAACCACTGTCCTGGTCCTGACAGCTTGCTCACCCAGGGCCTGGGGAGACGGGTAAAAATAGATTCCAGATTTGTCTAAAATCAGCTGGCAAACTGGAAGCCAGATGGTGTTGGTTCCTGTGTGCGAGCGGCAAACTATTCTGAATGTGGAGAGGCTATTTTAAAGTTGTAATTGGAGTGGAAAGCTGCCTCACCAGTGCCGAGAGTGAGTCACGTCAAAGAGACACTCTGATTGACCCCTCAGTGGGAACTGGGAAGGGCTGAAGCCCCTGTGTGCTGCCAGCCTGTGCCAAGTGTGCTTGTGAGGGTCAGGCAGGTGATGGAGATACAGCCATGACAGCTTGGCTGGGCCCAAGGTACCCCCGGGGGAGCCCAGCACTTCCCCTTGTGGCTCCATGGGTCCCAGTCTGGGTCTTAAACACTGAAGACCAGAATTGCAGCGCAGCTCTTTCTGTCTTTGTGAGGCACCTCCTGAGCTTGGGTTTTATCTTATGTAAAGTGAAGCCAAGCCAGTCAGTGGCTCGTGCCTGTAATCCCAGCCCTTTGGGAGGCCAAGGTGGGCAGATCACTTGAGGTCAGGAGTTCAAGACCAGCCTGGCCAACATGGCAAAACTGTGTCTCTACTAAAAATACAAAAATTAGCCAGTGTGGTGGCAGGCACCTATAATCCCAGCTACTCAGGAGTCTGAGGCATGAGAATCACTTGAGCCTGGGAGGCAGAGGTTGCAGTGAGCTGAGATCGTGCCACTGCACTCCAGTCTAGGCAAGAGCAAGACTCCATCTCAAAAGAAAAAAAAGTGAGGCCAGCCCATCACTCCTCAGTGGCAGGGGAGGTGAGATTGTTACCCCAGTGAGTCCCCTGACCATGCAGAGGGGCTCAGGAAGACCAGGACTCTCGTGATCTCACCGCTCATCACCTTCAAAACTTCAGGCTGGTGAGAGGTGGGGACTGTGACAACAGGGGATGTGAGGATCAGCATGGAGGATGAGTAGCCTTGGCCTGGCAACCAGGAGAGCAGAGGGTCCTCCGGTCACCCATCTGGAAGCCCAGAGCTGGAGGGC